CTATTGCCAGAGAGTTGATCTGTCCAATATGATGGCTACTGAACATGTGAAATACGCTCAGTCCAAATTGCGATACACTCTAACTATATAAAATATGATCGATTTTGAAAAATTAGTATATGACCAATAATTTTATAGTTTCATATTATTTTATATATACTAGATTAAATGCATTTTTAAAATGCATTTATCTTTTTTAAAACCTCTTATAGCAACCATGAAAGAATTACTAGACATTTAGCACTATGCAGTTGGCTTGACATTTTAAGTAAAAAATAAAGGTGTGGTTTTAGTTATGCTAACTCTGTACAGGTAGAGAAAGTACAAACCATTTGCAACTGCGGCCTGGGTTTCATGGACATCTGCCTGTACTTTGGAGGTGACGCTAATTCTTCGGGCTTTTCTTTCAATTGTGCAGGGGTCTGAGGAGTCTGCATAAGAAAAAGCAAAGCCACTAAGAAGGATGAAGTCATTCTTCAGCAAGCCTGAATGGGCTCGGAAGGACTGTTCCTGCACTCAAACAGTGAGCCCATCTATTCTTCCACTGCTCCATGCTACCTTTAGCTCTTCTCTGAGGTCAAGTACTAAACTTAATACTTCTTTGCAACCTATGCAGAGCAGTGGTTCTTAAAGCATTTGTTTCAAGTAATAAGACAGGATGGGAAAATTCTATTTCATCAAGTTCTCACTTTTTAGTGGATTAAAAGTAAAAAAGCAGTCAGGCATGGTGGCGCACACCTTTAACCCCAGCGCTCAGGAGGCAGAGGCAGGCAGATCTCTGTGAGTTCAAGGCCAGTCTGGTCTACATAATGAGTTCCAGGACAGCTGGAGCTACAGGGAGGCCCTGTCTCAAAAAGACCAAAAAAAAAAATGTTAAAAAAGCTCAGTGATGGCAACTAAATGGAAATGTGAGAGCAAAATTCAGTTGATTGTACTTCAACTTTCTGATTAAACTAGTTAGTGAAAAAAGGTTTGAAAATCACTGTAACCATAAAAGGCTGAGCATTATAGTAATGATTATGAAGAACAACAATAAACTATGTAATTTAAGAGAATAAAACAGGTATAATAAGGCCCAGCATGGTGGTACATGCCTGTAGCCCCAGTTCCTAGGAGATGGAGGCAAGAGAACTGGAGCTCAGTCAAGGCTGCTTGGGTTACCTGAGAACTTGTCTCAAAAGACAACAGAACATTCCAGCATTCGTGAGGCAGAGATCAGTCTGTATAGCATTAAAAATACTACTGGTTGAAAAATGATAAGTAACTCAAAATAATACTATGTACCAACAAACATTTGCTCCCAAACCATTTCAAGGTATTAGTAAGCAATCCTTTGAATTAGATAAAAAAATGACAAATAGCACGTTTCATATTATTTGCCTTTAAACAGAAGAAAGACCTTGTATTTTCTAATCAGTCTTGAACCCACATGGAATCCCTTAATACAATTCACCTTTGGAAATCACTGCTCCAGAACTCTAAGAATGGTGCTTAGATATTTAACCTTAACTGTATTATCAGAGTAATTAAGAAGAGAGTAAATGCGTCCTTGGGCTCCAAAGAAGAAGGTAAAGCCTCTCTCTTAGATTTGGAAGGAAGGCCTTTTTGTAACATCACATGCCTTCATCTCACTGACTCGTACAAAAATCTCATAAAATACATAGGTAAGTATTTGAACAGATCACCTCTCTGTGGTACATAGATTAGATATGAATGAGGTCAGCTGGGCCACTGCTTAGGTCCTGTGACACGCAGGTCATTGTTCTTGGCCCTGTCTGAGTTCCTAATGAAGGTATAGGGAGACTTACTGAGTCACCTGAAGAGCTGTGCTGCTTACCTGAATATTCTAATCCCAAAAGGTTTATCGCCCCTTTTCCTCTGTCCTTTTCCCTTTCATTCCCTATCACACTTACTACTCAAATACTCTACATTCTACTTGGATTTCCAGTATAGCTCTACAAGACCTTCAAGACATTTATTCAAAGGTATTGTTTTGTTTTAATTTAAGTGCACGGTACTGCAAGCCAATGTGCACTGAGCTAGAAATAATTTTAGAAAAGGCCAATTTAGCTTACATAACAAAAAATGATGCTGAGTCCAGTAGTAGTACACATCTGTAGTTCTAGACACCAATCTAGTAGACAATGAGATGCTGTCTCAAAACAACCACAAAATCCCAGAAAAAACCTGACTTCAAACTGAATAGCTTTTCATGATCTGTGATGAAAAGGTTTAAAAACATTTAGTAAATAATTAGTATCATTCTAAAACTTAAAAAAATTTTTATTTATTATTTTTATTTTATGTGTATGTGTGTATTGCCTGCATGTGGGTAAGTGCACCTATGTCGTGCAATGCCCGTGGAGGACAGAGGAGGCTGTCGGATTCCCTGGGACTGGAGTTACGGACAGTTGTTAGCTGCCATGTCAGTGCTGGGATTTGAACCCAGGTCTTTCTGCAAGAACAACCAGTGTTCTTAACCACTAAGCCATCTCTCCAGCCCCAATTAGTACCATTCTATACTCTAAGTATATATTTATATAATCACTCTACCTATTGTACATTTGATATACATTTAAGAAATTGTTTATAATTGGAACCTTTAGTACTATAAGGGATTATCCAGTAATCAGCAATAGCAAGTTTCATTTGAACTAAATAAAACACACAACAGAGCCTTTTATATGAATTTTTAAGTGTATAATATTTTTATGAATAAGGCTCTGCTAGCTCCATTGAAAAAGATGAGGTCTAATACCAACAATGAACCCTGAAGGGCTTGATATAACATGGCAATGTAGAGGCCATTCATGTGGGAGGGCAGGAAGTTTAGGGAAATCTCGGATGTGCTGTGAATAAAAAATTGCTTTAAAAGTTTTTAGTGGGGCTAGAGAGATGGCTCAGTGGTTAAGAGCACTGGCTGTTCTTGCAGAAGAACCAGGTTTGGTTCCCGGCACCCACAAGGCAGCTAACAACTGTCTGTAACTCCAGTTCCAGGGGATCTGGCGCCCTCTTCTGACCTCCATGGGCATTGCACAACATGGGTACACTTACATACATGCAAGCAATATTCACATATACATAAAAAATAAAAATAAAGTTTTTTGAAAAATGGAAGGGAAGCATGTTTTCCTTTACTGTTTTTTAAATTGTTTAACATTATTTTGTATCTGCTTAAAATGTCTAGTAGAATTTATTCACCAGCAAATTGTGTGGCTTTAAAATCAGGTTTGTGTGAAAATTTTTGATAATGGATTCAGTTTTACTTAACACATATATAGCTATTAACATTTCCAATTTCACCTCAGGGTGTTTTTGAAAGATTGTAGTGTTCAAGAAATGTGTTTACCTAGGTTATATAGTTTATTGGCATAAAGATACTGATCACATTCCTTTAATCAATTTAATGGATAAACCCATCTTTTATTTCTAATTGTGGAATTTTACATTTTGTCTTCCATGTAGATTGGTCTACCTTGGTATTTATTGATATTGTTTATCTTTTTAGAGATGAAGGTCTGTGCTCTCATAAAGTTATCTTGCGTTTCTTCTACTTTGCTGCTGACAGTAAAACTTTTCAACAAACTAACATCAAGTTTCCCTTCAAGTACTTAAGAATCTGAGGGCTGAAGCTGCTCAGATATGGGGGACCTGCTTAGTATATATATGGCCCTGACCGCATCCCTAGCACTAAGACAATAATTTTTTGGCCTTGTCCAAAGAAAGGTATGGCTCTGTATCTAGCTCCTTAGAGATGGAACTATTTAAGAAAGTTCAGGGTTTTAAGTGTGATGGACCCACACCTCAAATTTAATAGTAATAAAGTGGCTCATGGACTGTCCTTCATTTCCCATCAACGTAGTCCTCTGTTCCTCTGGTAACAACTTTTCAATATACTCCCTAAAATAGGATAATTCTTCCATGATAGCCCTTGAATCAGTCTAGCAGACGAACTACAGTTAATTATCAGTAAGAGGCATCTCCTTAGTAAGCACTGAAGTAAAATCAAGTTTAAAGATGCATATTTTATGAACCTAAAAGGCTAATGTGATCAATGATATATAACCCAAAGGCTCTCAGCTTGAAACTGCATATAATGTTGCTACAGTGCCAAATTGAGTACTTGGCAGTCATCCACTAAGATTTTTCTGTGTACCATTTTTAGAAATCACTGTGCTATTTCAAATGAGACATCCATGAGGTAGTATTAAACAATAAAGAGACCCACTCTTATACTGCAATCTATAAATGAAATAGAAAAACACTCTTTACTGAGCTTAATATAGACAGAACACTGAAGAAACAAAATTTAATTAGGTTAGATTATTTAGCTAGAATTTATGCATTCTCCACTATTCAACATGTTTTCATAAAGTATCTGGAGTTGCTTAATGCAAAAGGATTAAAATATGAAATTCGTATATTGAGTCTTGAGAATTATAAAACAATGTGGCCTCTTAGTTAAGAATGGAACAGAAAATGTCAACCTACATTCAATCACTTCTTATAAGATACTGAAATAACAATGAAATATTTGGCATTTAGGATTCACTTTATTCTTGATGAGAAAGCACTCCTGTCCCTATTTGTGGGGCTGACCTTCTGTGTATATAAGAATTAGTTTGTTGCCTGATAAGAGTCTGCTACAGATCTCTCTAGCATTAGACATTTTAGATTCTCATTGTTTTACAAGTTCTTTCAGGAGTATAGTAGTTTTTAGTATTTAAAAAAATCCCACAATTATCTCTTACAACAATTGTAGGGGATATTAATTTTAGCGCTTGTTAAATCTTAAGGCTTGGGGGCTAGCTAGTTGGCTCAGCTGTTAAGACACCTACTAGTCTGGCAGAGGACCTGAGTTCAGTTCCCATTACCCACATTAGGCAGGTCTGGGGGGGGGATCTACTTCTTTGGGCAGTTGCACTCACTTGCATATAATTATGTCCACATGTGCATGTAATTTAAAATAATAGAAACCTTAAAAACTTAAAGGTTGAAGAATATTTCATTATTGCCACATCACTATAGTTAAATTTCTTTATGATGAACAAGCAGTAATGAACAGTTCAAACAGAAGGTTCCTCAGAAAATTACTCGATTTCTACAATATTTGTACTATGACCTTACCTTTTTTGGATGGTTTTGGTGGCACAACTGGGCCAGGTTCTATGTGGTCATAAAAATTATTCATGGCTTTCGGATCAAAGTTTCCTAAAAAGAAATGAAAATCATAGGTATTTAGGAGTCATTTGTTATTTGATCTTTGTAAAAGAAAATATATTAATGAAACATGTAGGAAAAGAAAATGTTTTTGGGGGTCTCAAACTTGATTATACTATCCTCCTTTCCTTATGGTTGTGAGAAAGGATCCAAGATCACCAAACCAGGGTTTGTCTATAGTGTATTACCCAAAAGAACATTTCTACTTATAAGGCTAGTATCCTTAAGCAGGATTCAGCATCATATGGGTCATTTGAAGAGGTAAAGGATGAAGAGAAAAAAAAAAGTATGGTGGACCTGTTTGCCCTCTGCCTTTTTTTTTGAGACAGGGTCTCCCTGTAGCCCCAGCTGGCTTGGAACTCGCTATGTAGACCAAGCTGGCCTTGATCTCACAGAGATCCGCCTGTCTCTGCCTCCTGAGTGCTCTGATTAGAAACCTGTGCCACCACGCCCTGCCTTTCTTCTTGTTTTCATCTAATGAAAAACACAATATGAATGAATATAAATAGTGAAGCTTCCTTCCATAATTTATCTTAATTTTTTATTGCAAAGCCATCTAAGGAAGAAGCCAAACATTTAAGTTAACTAAGCCTATGAATTTATCAATGTTGCTATTGTGCCAACTGCAGTCTAAACAGACCCTAAGAACTGTTTTGACACACAGTTTTCCTCTTTGATAAGCTCCCTCCCGATTCAGTGTCTAGACTCAGCCACACATTCTTCTGTGACTCCCCTAAGGTTAGTTCACATTTGCTGCCAGTTCTGGCTCTCACCTTCACTTCTGTCCTCTGCTTGCTGTATACAATTTCATCTGAGTTTGGACACACAGGATGTGGTATTAAATCTCCTGTTTTCAAGTCTTGACTTTTTTTTTCCCCAACGAAAAGTTTCATTACCCAAAATCAACAATTAAGCTGCTTTTCATCAACTCATGCAATGATTTATTTGCATCTAGTTGAAAATGCATACCCCCCAAAGAAGTTTAGAAGAATTTATACTATGTTTCCAACCTAGAGTGAGGAAAAGTAGAATTTACCATAAAATAGCTATGTTCAGGCCCCTTTGTTCTAAAGTACCAAAAAAGACCTCATTTGATCAATACAGACCAAAACTAAAGCTCTTTTCTTTTCTTTTTTTTTTTTTTTTTTAAAAAAAAACCTTAATAGTAGTTTCTTTTGTAGGTCCTATTAACAAATGCTTTATCCAGTCAGATATGTTGTTTCAAGAGAATTTTCTAAAATTCTTATAGCTCAGGAAAGCTACAATGCTACTTGATATGTTAATTGCTAGATATGTATTCCCTTTCATTATCTATGTTACAATTGATGTTCTAATATGTAGTTCACAGCTTATTATAAAATAACCTAACAAAATGTTAATGATTCTCATTTTTCTTCAAAGACCATACCAGTTAAAAAGAAGTTGATGTAATAGTATAGTAGCAATGACTTGTATAACGTGCACATTATGCATAGCACTGCTTTCATTGATTAAAGCTAGTAGGCTATACAGGGATGCTTTTGAAAATAACTTTAAGAGAATCTGACTAGATTTCAACTTTCAGGTTCATATAGTTCCACATATTTTTGACTGTTTCACACTGCATTATATACTCTTAAAGTACTGTAGAAGCTCTCTTAGCTGCCGTAATTAAGAATATTAAGTTTGGAAGAAGGCTGATTAAAACAAAGAAATATTTGTTAAGAAAAATTACACATCAACTATAATGTAAGAGGAATGTAGTGAATTCTCTTTTCTATTTTTCTTACTGAAGTGCTGGGTGTTGAAACTCCTGGGGCCTCTATATGCTATACAAGCAGGGTACCACTGAACTACATCCCCGCAACAATATAGCCTTTACTTTAATGCTGGACAATGACCTAAAGCAAGTGTTAGCAAACTTTCTCTCAAAGGCCAGACAGTAACTTAGCCATTGTAGACCTGTAATACAATCTCAGTTGCAAGCCTCAACTCTGTCCTTGAAACACAAAAGAAGCCATAGACACTAGGCAAGCAAATGGGCATGGCTAGGTCCCTAAAACTAGGGCACTGGGGCCCTAGTTTGCTGAACCATGACCTGTAATTCTGTGTTATGAGTTCTTTAGCATGTAGTAAGTAATATACTAAGGACACTTGTAAGTAATTTTAAATACAAAATTTGTTTGTAGTTTTAAATTCTCCCCTTAACATTTTCTACTAGTTTTCACCCAAATCTAATTAACAGTTCCTATATTTTTATATTTAACTCTTTAAAAAATCCTCTTTGACTTTTATACAGAGAGAAGCTTTCTCTTGCATTCATGTTAGTTTATGAAACATTTAATTTTATTTCAGAAGTATACTAACTGGCATAAACAGTATAGTGGTGATCAATGGGAGCAATAGTATAAAGAAATGAAGGGTACCTATTGATGTGGTGAGCTGGGCAAATGAAAGTTAAGAGAGCTTCTACTGCAGTCCACAGAATTACCCTGAAAAGCGTGAACTCCGATATTCTACTTTGGGATCCCTATTTTTTCACAATATTTTGAATAATATAAACTGTCTTATTATTATTAAACTTATCAATTTACAAAATATTAATATTAAACGACTAAATGAATAAATGTAATGCTACAACAGAATAATTCAATGCTGAGAACAAATGGTGAAATTTCCAAAGTAAAATTATTTTTTGACCCCCTGATCTATGATCATGGAGTGCAGGAATCTCTTTAAAGGCAGAATTATAGTCTTATAATGGATAAAACCTGTCTCTTAAGTCTACAAAACCGAAATATTGCTATTTAAGCAGTTTAAAATACCACACTATTACTTATGGTTTACCAAATAATCAAGTCTATACCTCTAGATTGAAGGAGGTCAACTTCTTTCAGTGTACAGTCAACATTTATCTGGAGTTGTCTGTTCATGCTTCTCAATCTTGTCATTTCCTCTGGCTAGTAAGAAAGGACCCAAAATAGCAATTGTGGGAAAGTCATTATCAAGCCCAACATTTAAGAACTGTGTTTCACGTTAGTTGATCTGATTGGGTACTACCAAGAATACGGCCTTGCCAAAGAGACCGTGTGTAAGACGTCTTCTATGTATGTTTTTGAAGTAATAGGTAAAATGGGGACATCAACACGGCCACATACAAATGAAAGTTGCATATGGTGGCCAGGACCAAAGCTGGATTGTGTTCTATCACACAAACTACTATCATTGCAATACAACACAGAGAATATTTTCTTTATGTGTTCATGGTAAGGGAGATTACAAGAAACAACCTTTGAATCAAACAGTGCTCAAGATTTCACTCTTATCTAGCCTGGTAAAAATGACTGCTTACTTAGCATCAAGTAGTGGGTTATACCAGGATTCACTTATTCCTTTTGCTAAAGGAAGCTTTTAGTACGCAGTATTACACCAATTTACTGAGGAGAAAACTAAGGCATAAAGAAGAAAATTTCTCAGAGGTATAAAGCTAGTAACTGGCAGAACTAGGACTTTTACAGGTCTATATAAATGCATACAGAAGTATCTCTAACTTTTTCTGGGTCAAAGGAAACATTTTAGCACACAGAAATTTCACATCATAAATAGACTACTCTATTTCTTTTGCTTCAACCTTTCCAGCCCACTCTACTCCTTATGTCTTTCAGGAGTCCATTTGAGGCAGTGAAATGAGGAGAGAGACCAAATCTATAGAAAAGTAATATTTCTTTTTTTGTCTTTTGAGACAGGGTCACCCTGTAGCCCCAGCTGGCCTGGAACTTACTATTATAGACCAGGCCTCGATGTCACAGAGATGCACCTACCTGTCTCTGCCTCCTAAGTGCTGGGAATAAAGGCATATGCCACGATGCCTGATCCCCTACACCATTCTTAATTTCTTTACTATTTCTGTATTTAGATTCTAGAGGCATGGATACTGAAGTTTTTAGCACAGTCCAGGCAAAAACTATGGTAATTTCAACTATAAAAGTAAAGTTAAATTATCTACTAATTAAAACAAGAGGAAGATCCTAATCTGTTAAAAAACTTGTATTTTGCCAAAGACTAAACAGGTTAATAGTGCATAAAAAAGAGCAGAAAGAATATCTTAGTTCACAAAAATGCAAGATCTTATGCTGTTCAGAGATAGCAACAGCTAACAGCAGGGATCAAAAGTTCAAAATAGTAATGTAAAAGGTTTAAGAAGAGCTCTAACCCCTTAGAATGGCAGAGGAACAACCACAAAAACGCATTGCAAATATATTAGAAATTGCTGTTCTTTCCTCATTCCTATTGGCAAACTGCATGATGTTAATGTGTAAAGTACCTATCCCTTGCCTACCAAGCAATAGTAAAATACTGTGAAACCCACGCTTGATCATTTATATGAGCGATTCCATCCTCCTAGGAACATATAAAATAACTACGATTTTGTGGCAGTTCAGTATCTTGAGGCTGATTCTTACAATATTATTTTGGGGATAAGATGGTGGTTTAGTCCTTCTGGCCCAAAATAGTGACACTTTTAAGTATGTATGTAACTATCATAATATACTTCATAATCAAGAAGTTAATAACTGTAAAGACCACTCTCACAATAGGCTCATTTCCAAATAGTGGAAGCACTTGAACTCATTCACCTTAGAGTTTATCTGTAAGATTCTTTTCTTGTAGCTTCTGATTAACTTGAGGTAGAATAGCTGTTTCTGAGAATGGTCATTTACCAAAAGTATACTGTTTTCATGTTTTACTATGTATAACTTAGACCTAAGTGTAAGAAAATAGAATTTTTGTATTTGATATTTCAAAATGAAAAATTCTAAGCTCTTTTGCAGTCAACTGTTTTGGAACTTTAAAAACTAGTGTCATAGACACCAACATTGAAGACCACTGGTGTTTTTGGTGGCTTGGCCCCAATTATGCATCTAGACAAAAGCTGTGAAGTGGTCCAAAAATTCAATTATAATAGGATAATTTGAGGGAGGGGACAATCGGCAGCTCTCTGCTTATTAGAATCTTATTTTTCAAGGTAAAACTTAAAATTCTCCCTTCTCTGAAACTGTTCTATCTTGTATGTTATTAGCAGAAGACTAGTATTTTTTTCACATGCATATCTCTTTGAGAGACGACATCTTGAGAACCATTTAATACAATGTTAGAAATAGCAAATTAAAGGCACGTTGCATCCACTGTTTCTTTATGTGAACAACATTATAAAGTACTTGTAATAATTCCCTTTATAGACAGGATGTTAGTATAGCCCAGAAGTGCCAGAGCCATAGATGGGAAGTTAATGTAGCCCGTAAGTGCCAGAGCCATTCTGATTTCCAATTGGATATGGGTATTACTTCAAATCGGACTCAGTAAACAAATTGGAAATTCTGACTAAATGATTTGATTGCCATGTATGTTCTTAAATGGAAACCAGTTTTACAAAACTGGTTTCATATTTGTCTATGTATTTTAAGTGAAATTTTCCAGCATTTGTAACTAAGCTGCTGTGTAAGGTTGCTATTTGTTGAGCATTTTGTAACTTACTTAACATAGCTCATATAACATGGGTACTTTATGAGAAAATAAGCACAGACAACGTTACTTATGTGAGGATCTATGACTGACGTGAGAAGTAGGATTCAAGTCTGCACCTGACTTGAAAGCCCACTCCCCTTCCTTCCCTCTATGTACACGGGTAACTACCCCTCGGCCATGTCCTTCCTACTATGCTGCATTTCACTCTATGTCTGCAGCAGGAACACAAGGTACTCACACGAACTATCAATTTCTAAAGGTAAGCAATGGCTACACATGGTTTATTATGCTATTCTGCCGACTTTATTTTTAACTTTTAACTATAGAGATTTAAACAACAACAACAACAACAACAACAACAACAAGCTGCAGCCCAGGGAAGCAGGTTTACCAACTTCTCCTTTCTAAAAAAATGACTCATCAATGAAAACTCCAAAATTAAATGATGGTGGTTTTATCTGAAGCACTAATTCATACTGCACTAGACAGACTTCTACTTCCAATTAAAAACAAGGTTTTGCTTAGCAAGGATTGTAATATAGCAAGCAGTTTTTGAACAAGCTTATACAGGTATTCTGAAGAAAAATGTCTTCCATGCGAAAATGAAAGTTTCTGTTTTACAGATACCTAAAGGATTACAGTGTCCAACTTCCAACTATTCTATGGGTCATAAGTTTTACTATCGTCCCTTAGCAAAGGATTCAATGATGATTTCAAATAGAAACAATCAAGAAGATACTTGATTTACATGAGTATCGCTTTCAGTTGCTTTATATTTTTCCCAGTGCTTTATGTAATTAAAACCGAGGAATATGGTTAATATCATGTCATTAACTTACTCAATATGCCTTTTCCTCAAGAATTTCTTCCACTGCTTCCCTACTAGCAAAGTTCGAACACCTTGACATAGTATTCAAAGTTTAGGTTCAATTCTGCCTCTGTGCACATTAACCTTTTATAAACTCATTAGAAATCTCATGCTTAAACCTGGAAACTTCACTGTTTCTGAAAAGTAAGCTTTGCCTTGACTTTAAGCCTTAATTACCTTCTCCCTTCAAAGACGACTCCCCCTCTCTGCCTACAGTACAGAGCACTGGCTCCTCATTCCTTCTTCCCTTCAAGGTACCTCAGGCAAAACTTCCCTAAGAAACTGCAGCCATTCTGAGGACAAGAAGTCTGACATATATGCCCCAAATCCTAAACTTTCAAATTGTAAAAGCCAGATTACACTAAATTTAGAAAGGGGGGAAAATGAGGAGAGACCCCATGGAGAAAGTAGAGCATTAAATGAGCCTTGAGGGCAGACAGGATTTACATACATGGAGCTCTGGAAGAGCAGAGGATAATGTAAGAGAACAGAGATGTGAACTAAGCATGTTCATCAAGCAGTTAATATACAAGTTCTCTCATTACCCATGAGCAAACACAGCAGTTACCACTGGAGAATTCTCTGGTGATCTGTTTTTCCCAATGGAAGATATGCAAAGCTTCTAATAGTACCACATTCATAAGCAGTATGCAGAATTGATGAAAAGATATACTGAATCACAGAAAAGTTGACATGACACAGAAAAGAGATATATTTCAAATTTTTCAAAGTTATTTCACATCACTAGAATTCAAATACATCAACCAATATGCTGAAACTATCCTAATGGTTCACCAGAGTCATTTCCTTTCCTTTAAGATCATCATTGTTTCATACTATCTCAGTCTGTACAGTTAGACACAATGTAGTGCTCTGCCTTAAAACATTTTACCACCAACACTTTCTCAAAATTCGTATTTGTCCCACTTAAAATACTTAGAAAAATAATCTTACATTTTTGAAAGAATACATATCAGATGTTTAGAAGAATAATTTATGAAGTCTTTAGTCAGTATATACTTTCTGCAATAAATAAGATAGTATACTCTGATTATAACTGCCAATCTTTGAAAATAAGGATGAGTATATATAAGTTGCAAATGGGAAAATGCGAAAATTATTCTGACAAGAACTACTCGTGGTAAAATTCTTATATCCACTGTTTAAAAAAAATCACCAGGAACAGAACTTAAAAGAAAAGTAAATGGCTTGGACAGAGAGAGTGCACTGAGTACATTCATAAACTGCAATATACATTGCAACAGATGACTTACCGTGGGGATTGCGGTGGTGCAACTGACTCTCCTGAGCCGTCTCTGCATCAGGTCATGCTCCATACTGTTGACTTCAGCCTTCAACCGCTCTAGCTCCTCTTTTTCAAGTTTCAATTGCTTTGCTAACCTCTCCATCCTTGCTCGCTGATGTAACAGCAAAGCTATAGCATTACAGATAAAGTCACTGCAGAGAATAATGCTGAACAGATAACACAATTTCTACATACACTGTTAATGGATAGAAGACTCATCCAACTTGGGGGTTGGTATTTACTCTTACAGCCCTCCTAATGCTGTGTCTACCTCCACTTCTGCTTTAATTTAGCTCTTAATTGCTACCAAAATGGCATCTGTACATCTCTTTTGTTCTGTCATCTTTAGGTCTCCTGAAAGTTACCTTAATTATACTTGTGTATATTTTAAAAGGCTTATTGGGTCAATGAGATGGCTCAGCAGGGAAAAGTGCTAGCACGAAGGCCTGAGTTCCATCTCCAGATTCCACAAGGTGGCACGAGAGAACTGGTTCTGAGGGCTGTCCTCTGACCTCCCTCCACATGTGCACCATGGTAGGCTCAGACTTCTATTCATACACACATATACAGTAAATAAATAAAAGGCTTAATATCAGGCATGCTGAATCACAATTATAACGACTTCCCTTCTTTATATATTGGAAGAATGCTAAACTCTCATTTATTTTAGTACAATTTGAAAGAATCTGAATAGACTTTTCAAATACCTTCATCTTCTATTATCCTTTAGGTATGCCTACTATCAGCTAATCCAACAATTTTGTTAGTAATTACATTTCTTATATATTACTTACAAATACCATTATTCCCTTCTAGTCCTCTTTAGAAAAATCTCAAATTCTTTCCTTTGATGAATTGTACTCCAACTTGTGTAAATTTCTTTCTTCATAATAGTCATTACGTTTGTCCATATTTTTCCCAATGAATGATATCTCACCAAATAAAGTCTTCATTAGAGTGTAACTGTCATACTCAGTTTCATAATTTTAAAAAATATTTTATTTATTTTTATTTTATGTGTATGAGTGTATTGCCTGCATGTATGTGAGTGCACCTGTGTCGTGCAATGCCGCAGAGATCAGAAGAGGGCTTCAGATTCCCCTGGAACTGGAGTTAAGGACGGTTTGTAACTGCCATGTGGGTGCTGGGAATCGAACCTGGGTCCTCTGCAAGAGCAGTCAGTGCTCTTAACCACTGAGCCATCTCTCTAGCTGCACAATTTCATATTTTAAAACAGTCAATAGATGAATGACTCTGAAGCAGTCATTTTAACCCTTAAGAGTAATACTACTACCCAACTTAAATATTTAGTTGAAACTAAATAGCTAATAGTTTTTTATTTTCAATAGACTATCACTTCACTCTAAAAATTAAATTTCAAAACTAAAATTTACCTTGTGTATAGGCATAATCATCTGATCCAGAACTAGAACTCCTCTGATATTTATGACTTCCCTTTTCTCCCCCAGAGCCTGGTATCACTGAAATGGGCTGAATAGGTTCTGGTGCTGCAGAGCGCTCTTCTTGGTCCACTAAATTTAAAAGATTTTCAGGTGTTGCTCGGCCTACAGTAATTTTAAAAACGGTAGTAGGGTTTGGTATCACCCGGGGAGACGGTGATGGAGCACATGAAGGTCCAGTTGGCTGTGTATATGTAATATACACAGGATTAACACTAAATGGAGGTTTTGGTTGACTAGATATCCCTCTTGAAGGAGAACTTGAAGGTGGAGTGGTGGCTGTATACAGTGAGTGCTGGTTCCGTGGAGATGGCTGATTACTGATGGGTGAAGGACTCCTAGTTATTGCTGTCCCAGGTCTTTGAGAAGGTTCAACTGTAATTTCTATCTTCTTCATGGAACCTTTGGGTAAGTTGGATGGTGTGTATGGGAGATAGGCTACTGAATGGCTTCCCTGCTTTTGATAACTAGGAGGTCCTTGTTGATATAGGTGGGGTGGAGTAGTCGAAGGACTAGGTGGCATAAACACGTGAGAGCTTGGGTGGCCCAGCTGCGAAGGTTGCACTTGATGCTGTGGAGAGCTAAAGGGTGAAGGACACTGAGAAGGAGGTGGTGAATGGTAAGCTGGCTGAGGGATTTGCTGCTGTTTGGGAGAATACTGAGAAGGTTGATAGTTCTGTTGATGTGGATACACAGGTAAAGGGCGTTGGCTATAATGAGGCACTGGGCCTTGTGGTGAGGACTGCCACGGTGCATTCTGAGGAGTCTGTCTTCCCGATGAACTCTGAGATGTCTGTCTAATATAAATAGAACCAGGAGATCCATAGAGATTACTTGGAATTTGTGGAAGAATCTGTAAAGCTCTTGGTACAGTCTGTCCAGAAGGGAGGTTTTGGGACACTGTAACAGTAATTGGATTTGTACTATACCGAGGTATGTGCATGTAGGATGGAGGTGGTGGTGGTGAAGGCCCTTGCATAGGAGATGGATTCATACCTGTTTGCATGGAAGATGGCTGCTGAGGTGGCTGTGAAGGAGGAGTAGCTGCACTTCTGTTCTGTTCATTCATAAAAAATGGATTATAGTTGGGAGTAGCAGCCACAACAGCTGGAGCTGAGTGTGGTTCCTGAACTAAGCATATCAGCTGTTTACCTGCTGCATGCTGTGGATCTATATGTCCATCACTTGAGCTATGTACCAGTGTTCGACCACCATTAAGGTGAGCTCCATCTCCTGGGTGGTAGCTACTAGGAGAGTGGATACCCAGGTTAATATGCAAAAGGCGATTTCTATTCATCCTATTGTCTTCTGGACTATGGTATTCCATATACAAGTATTTGCTGCTCTCCTGGGAAAGGGCTCGGCAACAGGCTTCTAGATTATTGTTATTCTGTGGGAGAAAAATGGTAAAAACAATATTGGCAAAATTAACAAAGCTTAATAGGGGAAGTCAGGCTCTCCCAGAGAGTTAGACAAATAGAAAGAATAGACAGGAGCATTTTAACAATAAAAACCATCATGGTCATCTGTCTTGAAAATGGAATCTTAAACAATTCATAAATAAGCATTTGGCTCCCATTACTAGAACTATCACTACTGCTACTGCTACAGAAATGTAAAGTACCTACTAATGAACACTGTGACTCAACCCCAAGTTTTCTCACTCCAAATCCAGGACTCATTTTATACTTGTTGCATCTCAACAACTTAAAATGTTGGGCTAATCTTGGATTCACCACAACTGCTGTAACATCCATCATTAATATTTAATCTGATAAAATGAAAAAAAAGCCTTTAGTTTTCAAAAAGAACTTATAAAAATTCCTGAACAGTTAAAACAGTAAAAAGCATATACAAGTCCTATGCAAGCTCAAACCAGACAAAATCCAAGCCTAAACATGGGGAAGTGGGTAAGAAATCCAAATTGATGGTTACTCAGAGGAGGAGAGACACTGTCTTACACAGATGGGATTCTGGGCAGGCCCAGTGGATGGACCTACACCGAAGGACATTTTGGAACACAAATAAGACTCCACAGGATACACACATACACACACACACACACACACACACACACACACACACACACGAGAGTACATTAAAATGGGTAGGGGGCAATAAGGGAGGTACAGATAGGGGATGGGATCTAAATACCATCAAACTATATTGTGTGAAAAATCACAAAAATTCAATAAACAATGTTACCCTTTACTTTTCTTTTATCCAATCTTATTCCTGTATAACTTCAACCTTTATCACTGGGAAAGATTTACTCAAAGTAAAGTAACCAGAAAAAAAGAACATAAATCTTTCATAGTTTGAACCACACCTCCATGATTTGGTCAGAGTTAATGGGAATTTAACAAACAACTGTGTCCAAATTGCCTTAGTGAAATCCACTCCCACAGCATCAAGGTTTTACAACCTGAATGGTAACTTAATATACTTGAGAAAAATCATTGAAAATTGGAATTTTTAGTTACTGTCTGTGTGTATAACAGCAAACTGTCATTTAGAAGTTCCAACTGACAGTAACCAAATGTTTCCTTTTTAAATATTTTTTTAAAATTTATTATTCTTACTTTATGTGTATGAGTATATTGCCTGCATGTGTGTAAGTGCACCCATGTTGTGCAATGCCCGTGGAGGTCAGAAGAAGGCGTTGGATTCCCCTGGAACTAGAGTTACGGATGGTTGTTAGCCACCATGTAGGTGCTGGGAATTGAACCCGGGTCCTCTGCAAGAGCAGTCAGTGCTCTTAATGGCTGAGCCATCTCTCCAGCCCCAAATGTTTCCTTTTTAAAATTATATTATAAAGCAGTTTTCCATTAAAATACAGAACTCTCAGCTTATTAGAGTATAGCACATACTATTCACTGCCTTTGAAATAATACATAAAAGATTCTTAATTATGACTTTCTCTAACGCAAACATACGTTTATTGTATTTATTTTAACGATTAATGCATTTTATATAAAAATGAAATATTTCACTTCTGTTGAGAATCAAATGAAATGTTAAGCCTACCACAAAATAAGAAATGCAGTGACTGTAGTATTAAGAGATATCTAAAGCTCCACTTATGTTTCCAGATGCAGGAGATACTGAACTAGTGAACTAGACAGCCAGCTCTAGATTCTTGGTCTCCTGAGTTCCAGTGTTCTTTCCACATAGCAATTTCAAGGGAACGGATGTTTGGTCAAAGGACACTACTAAGTCGGAACTTTAGGAGGTCAAACAAACAAACAAACAAAAAATCCTTTATAAAATGAAATCTAAAGAATTTGCTTCATAAAAAGGTAAATTTTATTTTCCTTGTACAAAGTACATAAAAAATACTACAGAAAGAAGTATTAATTGAAGTTTAAGACATTAGAACACAGAGATTTGTTTTCTTATCCTGCCTGAAAATCATGCTGAGTAAGGGTGAGAAGCAAGATTTTAAAAGCAAATCTGGAGCCAAAGAATTCAGTTGGACTGCCAACTAGAATGTGTCAGTGACAGATACATGAAAAAAAAAATATGTAAGAAAAATAAAGCACCTCAAGTTTTCAACAAATCTATGGGATTATGAGAATATACTTTAGTATTTGGTGTTTTATGCATAACTGAAATTTCATGCTTTACATAATAAATTTGAGAATCCAGTAGTAATCTCACAAAAAGGATTCTAATTAAAATAATAAGTTAGATTTGCTGACCTAGTCACATGCATGTCTAAAGTAAAAATATGAGTAAATTTTCCTATGAGAAAAAGTTTAAAACCACAAATTTGTTCATTATCTTCACTGAGCTAATGAAAAAAGACTACCACCAGAGCAAATTTAAATGTCATACCTGACTTGCTAAATGCTTTAACAAAGAAAAAATGAGCACATAAATGTGTCAAAGGGTAATTAAAGTACAAAATTGTTTATTTCGATAAAGAGGCCAAAATATTTTTATGCAGTACTGGGGACTGAGTCTAGGGCTTCACACATGCTCTACCACTAAGTTATATCCCTAGCTTTCTTTTTAATTTTTGACATAAGGTCTCAATAAGCTGTCATTGTTGGAGTTTAGCTTGCAATCTTCTTGCCTCACTTTTCCAAACAGCTGAGACTGTAGGCTGGGGCACAGGTTTAACAACAGGTCATAATATTTACGAAGCCATGTATAGGTACTAGAGAGACGGCTCAGTGAGTTAAGAGCACTTGCTGTGTAAGCATGAGGACCTTACAGTTGGGTGTGGCCTTGTGTGTGTGTGTGTGTGTGTGTGTGTGTGCCCGAACGCATGCACACACACACACTATAGAGGGAAGACAGACAGGAGGCTAGTTGGTCATCAGCCTAGTTCCATGTTCAGGGAAAGACCTTGTCTCATAGGAATAAGGTGCAAAGTGATAAAGCAGGACACCTAATGTCCTGCTCTGGCTTCTACACATGGATCCACATATACACAGAAGATTTTTTAAAAATAGAAGGCACACAGAACAGTCTTGAAAGGACTAAAGGAAAAAAAAGTATCATTCTCCTAAAAAGTGGTCTTAAATTAAGAGACGATAGCCCAGTCAGAGGCTTTAAGGCCTGTGTTCAAAAGTAAATTACCAAGTTAGTATATGTCACTATGAAACACTTTGTTGCGAAGTCTTGATATATAGCCCAGGCTAGCCTCAAATTCATAGTAATCTGCCTCAGCCTCCTGGGTGATAGGATTACAGGCATGTACCACCACATGAGGCTTTAACACACAAACTTTCCAGAGTCAGTAGGTGGTCAATGTCCATACAAATACATTGTCAATACCAAAGAAAAAAAAGTAAAATATTCACAATAATATGAGTGTAAACAAATGTATACTGAGTTAAATTTTTGTTCTATTCCTTCAGCTAAGCAACCACGAAAATGCAGTTAATCAAAAGCTGAATAAAACAAAAAGCACGCTGGAGTTAGGAAGGCCCTAGAAGAGCTAAGGAAAGCCAATGTTAGAAAATGGTTTCAGCCAGAAGATTAAACTCTGGCATGGTTTTACTGAATTGGGAAGTAAATTTGTTCAACCACATACCAAAATGGGGCCAAAGATCTAAGATTCAGACTGGGAATATGTTAAAAAAAAAAAAAACACCTATGACACAATAACCTTAAGCCAAAGGCCTAAAGCTAGTAAAGGTTTGTAAACAAAGGAAATCCCTGGGTTGTCTGAGTCTCTACTTGCAATTACCGTCTCCTGAACATAGGTTTGTGCTACTTCCTCAGCTTCTTACACTGCAACACAGCAGTGTGAACATGAATACCTACTATGTGATGTGCCAAGTAGGAGAGTGTCATAATCATGGAACACTGAGAGGCCATGAAGGATAAGAAAAAAACACCAGAGGGAGCAGTAAGGCTCTTTCTCTGCTGTCCCTTGAAGAGAAAGACATATTGTCACTGAGAAAAGAAATTTATTTTGCAGTTGAGAACAAAACAAAGGGAATGTTTCTGAACTAATGCAGCGATTAATCAGTTATTAGTAAGGACTTACCAATTAAAAAATATAAAGGGAATAAATTATCTACAGACCTTTGAAGGTATACTGAAATTACCTTCTGCAGAAGTAGACTGTACTTTTAAAATTATTTATTATTTTAGATGTATGAGTGTATTACCTGCATGCATGTAAGTATAACCATGTTGTGCAATGCCAGTGAAAGCCAGAAGAGGGTCTCAGATTCCCCAGGAATGGGAGTTACAGTTATTTGTTAGCTGCCATATGAGTGTTAGGCACTGTACCTGGGTCCTCTACAGGAGCAACCAGTGCTCTTTAACCACTGAGCCATCTACCCAACCCCATGAAGTAGACTCTAACTTTGAGATTCAAGGTTCAACTCTAGGGACTAGGGGTATAGTTCTGTGATAGAGACCTTGCATAGCATGCGTGAAACCCAGGGCTTGACTTCTAGGACCAAGCCAAAGGAAAAGAATCAACTCTAAGGATTTAGGGAACAATGACAACCCCTCCTCAAAAATTGAGTGGGAGAGGTGGTAGAGGTCTGAGAACAACTTGTGGGAGTTCTCTCTCTCCTTTTACCATGTGAGTCCCAGGGGTCAAACTCAGGTCATCAGCAACTGCATCTACCCACTGTGTCATCTTGCTGATCCCCCCCAAAATCTTTAAAATGTGTTATTTATTTTTACTTTATGTTTATGAGCATTTTGCCTGCATGTGTATAAGTGCACCAGTACATGCAATGCCTGTGTAGGACAGAAGAGGGCATGGGATCTCCAGGAACTGGGGTTATGGTTAGTTGTTAGAAGCCATGTGCTGGGAACCAAACCCATTTCCTCTGCCAGAGCAGCCAGTGTTCTTAACCAGAGTCATCTCTCCAGCCGCTCCCCAGCCCCCAATTTTTTAAAAGCTAAAAAAGGAGAATCTTTTCTTTGTGCTACATGCCTTTATTTTTCTCAACATCAGTGGATTTCAACTGGGCAATCTTTTTTTTAACCTCACAAGGAACATTCAGCAATTTAAAAAGTCATTTTCCAGTGTCATAGCTGTAGAGATTATACTGAGAAGATAAGCATCTCACCAGGCCTAAGGCAGACCCTCACAACAATTACCCAGTCCACCATGCCAATAGCACTAAATTTGAGAAATTTTGTACTATATATACCAACACAACACAACGTTAATCCTAACAAGGAAAATTTTAGTATTAAGAGCACTGGCAGAAATTTACCTGTAACATGCACTGAGATACCACACCCTCTGGGATTTCAGGGAAACGCTGTCTGAGATCATGGAGAACCTGAATATCAAGCTGTGGACTGCTTTGCGCCATGCCAGAGTAAAGGGTGGTGAAGTATTTACTAGGAAATGAATGTTAACAGGTCTTCCAAAAGCAACGGTCTTCCAACACCACTGTCATTTTCTATTAAAAAAAATTCAAAGTTTTGTTAAATCAAATTCCACATTTTAACTTATTCACATACCATTAATACATTAAAATCAATAAAGCTAAAATAAATATACTTAGGTCCAAGGTTTACAAATGGACAAATTCCTGGATACCACAGGGTAGTTGCATGTATGAACTCATAGCACTTTTGACAGCATGCACAAGACCTGTGCAACCCAAACCAGATAGGGGCTCAGTATGGATGGGGAAGGTGAGCACGAAGCCCCAGCCCTAGCTGAAGATCTATTGGTATTTGATTGACGCTGGGAGAGGGAAAGTCAGTGTTCCTTACTGGTGTGATGTGTAATAGGTTGACCAGACTCCAAGAATAGACCCATACATAAGAGCATTTATGAAACACAGATTAGACTCACTGGGCCTCAAATAAAAAGAAAAAAACAAATAATAGAGGACATGAAGTGTTGGGGTGTGTGTGATAAGATGGGGGTGGAGAAGAAGTCTGAGTATCATCAAAATACACTGTATGAAATTTTGGAATCAATAGAAGTATCTTTTTTAAAAAAGTTCAAATGGGGATTTCTTCTGATGTCATATAGACATTCAAATTAGTGGCTTTCATGCAGGTAATGGGGAGGGAGAAGCTGAAGAAGGAGATAGTAGGAGACTGGTGTTATCAAGGGGAAAATGGGGCTATTTAAAATGGGAAGGGAAGAGGGACAGTTAAATGGGGGAAGAGAGAGGTGAGATAAATAATGATGCTTGGGTGATGTGAAAAATCAGAGGGAAATGTGTTAGTTCAAAAGCTACTGAAAAATACATATACAATATCTGTAACATGAGTGCATGTATATAGTTGAAGGCTTATAGAATAAGAAACGAAGGAGCAACCGTACAGGAGAAACCGTACAGAAGAAACCTCCCTTCAAGTTGTTGGTCAGAGTAGGCCAAGAGACTCCCAAAATAACACAGGCTATGGCCACAGCCCTTAATTGCCTCCCAGAACTTGAAGGTTCTCTATTGCTGGAGACACGACATGCTTCGGACCCAGGACTTGAAGCAATGGAGATGGAACTGACCTGGAAGTCTTCTCCCTGAAGACTAGCTCTCATAGTTCTAGAGGATACTACTCAAGTTGCTGAAGGAGAAAACCAATCAATGATCCAACCCAGCAGTGGAGCCTAATAACCACAGCAAAGACTGTCACAATAAACTATCTCTATTGGTGCAGTAGTGGCACTATTATCTTGGGGATAATCAATAGCTATCTAACTGAACTTAAGGCCTGCTCAATGGGAGGGAAGTCATGGGCGGCACTATAAATATAGCCAAATACACATGTTTGGAGAGGTCATAGATCCTAGAGAAAACCCTAAGTCTGTCGTATCTCTAGACAAATGTAATTTCTTACTGTATGCTGAATATGGATCCTTATATTTACAGACAAGCATACAGTCAGCTTGGAGACTATTAGAGAGTCGCACAATTGGTGACACACCGAGAATAAGTGTCTTTAAGATGCCCAGCCCTATGGCAACACCACAACAGAATCTCTACACCTAAGGTTCAGGGACCATTGCAAAAGAGACAGTAGAAAGATTCTAAGAGCCAGGGATGATGGGTGACCACACAGAAACAAGTTTTCCGCATGACTGGGAACTTGTTCACATGAACTTACACAATGGTGACAGCATGCATGCATAAGAACCATGTAAACTTAAACCATATAAAAACCCAGTACAGAAGTGGGGAAATGGGCAAGAAGCCTCAATCCTAGCTGAGAAACTACTGGCAACTGATCACTGCTGGATGAGAGCGAGTTGGTCTTCTTTAAGGGAATGATGGTAGATATTCTGACTAAGCTGCAGTGGATGAACTTACACCAAGAGACATCTGGAGATACAAACTTGACTTGACAGGCCTTAACATATAAGACAGAAAACATTAAAACCTGGTGTGGAGGGGTGGGGGCTGTATGGGGGTACAGACAAGGGAGAAGATCTAAATATGATCAAGATGTACTGTAAGAAATGCACAAAAATTCAATAAAAAATGACAAAAACCAAATTAGTGGTTTTAAAGTAACAACAAAACAACCAAAATAGAGAAAAAAGTCTCCAGCAGTTTCATTTTAGTCCTGGGGAAGCAAAATAGCCAGATCAAAGCTATACATCTACACATTATATTATTATTATTATTATTATTATTATATTTGGCAAACAAGTATTTCTAGCCTTGAGAAATCCTACTTATGCACAATCACTCAATTTTCCTAAGGGCCATCACATCAATCCTCTAAGGCATAGTCATCATTCTGATACCTGAAATAATGAAACAGAGAAATAAGGACGTGACAATAATCCCACCAAGCACACCTGTACTTTTTGCCTTATATTCTCCCCATACTCTGCAAATCTGATCATTTTCCTCTCATGCCATATTTCAACCAAACAGAACCATGAATGGTTGTCTGCATCAATATCACATGAAGCATCCTGTCAGGATGCATCCTGTCAGCAGCCTGTGATTGCTGTGTATCTGCAAGAGAGACTATCTTCCCTCTTACCTACTGCTTTTCCCAATCCTATTGATCCTGTCCATGTCAGCTGTGGTGGCATCTACCTTCTCTGAGGAGAATGACATCTTCTACTGAGTCCTGATATTTACACCTACACTAGCTAGAGGGCATTCCACTATACTGCCACTGCAGGCTTTTTTGACCCTCAAAGGAGCAACAAAACACTAAACTAAAACCATCTGGGTACCTGAAGATATCTTATATAAATCCTCAGTCCCCCTGAAATGTCCTGTTATGCCAGAAAGTGCGGAAGTACTCAGAAGATGGAAGCTTGGGTAATGACAAGAAGTTAGCTTAAGAAGTTCCCAATGGTCAAATGTGCAATAATTCAAATACTAAAATAACAGAAATGAATTATAGTCCTAAAGATATGAGGTATCCATAATCCAAACCTATGGTTAACCGTTAAATACATGTATAGATGAGAAGGGAAGACTCCTGCTCACAGTAGAACACAAATGGTAAACATGTAGGCTAATGTTGGAGCTGGGAAAACCATCATTTTGCAGCCATGGTGGTAGAGACTGCTTCACCCAAATATCATCAATGAAAGTTAAATCCAGGGAAACTTTGGAAGAAGACTAGGACATACACGCCATCTCAAAAGTGTCTCCTCAAAGCTTATTAGTTGAAAGGGGGAACAATTTTAACCATGTATTACATAAACAGAACATTAGTAATGAAGGCCAGATGGATAGCATATACTTCCAGATGTGATACACTGAGGACACCTTACAGTATGTTGGCCAATAATGTATAACCTGAAACTAGTCATGAAGAAAAAGACACCAAATGAGAAATGCTCTGTTTATAAAAAGGAGAGGAGGGGCTGAAGTGACGGCTCAGCAATTAAGAGCACATACTTCTTTTGCAGAGTTCAGTTCCTAGCACCCATGTCATATGGTTCACAACAACCTGTAACCCTAGATCCAGGGGGGGGGATCTGATGCCTCTGGCCTCCATACTCAGGCATGTATCTATACATAGATACACATAATGAAAAATAAATCTTTGTTTTAAAAGAGAGGAAAATGTCATCTTTAAAAATGTCAATGTTGAGGTTAGTGGGTAAAGGTACTTGCTACTAAACCTGATGTGTCAACCCTCAACCAACATGGTAGAAAGGGACAGAATCAATTCCTGCAAGTTGTCCTCTAACCTCCACTGTGTACTGCGCACACCGACGTGTACCCATGCACAGACACAACATAAATAAATGTAAAAATAAATTTTAAGTCATAAAAAACAAAATGCTAGAAAGATGCTGCATATTAAAGGGCACAGAGCCATTACACCTAATCTAATTCCTAATTCTAGACTGGATCCTATTATAATGGGGGGGCTTATTAGAAAATTGATTGATCAATTAACAAAAGTAGAAAGGAGTAAAGGACATACAACTTCCTCTCAAATAGGAAAAAAAATCCCCCTTGAATACATGTATATACAATTGTGCACACACAAATATGTACACAAGGAAGAAAGAAACTACAAAGCAAACAGAAGACTGTCAACAACAGTTGAATCTAAGAGTTATCTGTACTACTTTATTTTTGCAATTCTCTAAGTTTGATACTATGTCCAAAGAAAAAAGAAAAAAAAACCAAAATTATTATACAAACCAATTAATCAAACAAAAGCATGTCTCTTAGATCTAGGTCTCCTTTATTACTGTACCTCAAAAGCTCGACGAATATCTGCTCAAATACGTTAACTGATTAATCAATTTCCTATACAAAACCAATCTCCCTTAAAAAAGTGATTCTGATAGAACACTATAATTAATGAAGAATATACAGGGGAACTTTTTATACAAATCTTGCCCCTTCCTCCCTGCCCCCCCACAAATACTAGGGTAATAAGAGACAAACTATATCATGCAATTTGTGAATGTTTAGGGAATGCAAATGGGCTTAGGCCAGTTTGCCTTTCAAAACAGCAGGAATCTGAAATGCTAAGAGATTCTGCTAGATTAACAATCTAGGCTTTAACTCAAAAGGGAAATTATTTCAAAGCCCTTAGTACAAATGTACTTTTTTTCTGAAACAGTGTTTGAATTGTCCATCTTTTTCAAACCCTACTGCCATTTTCAGAGTAAAACAATCTATAATTTGCACTATCTAAATGACTCCTAGCTAGATGATAAACTTGCCAAGTCACTGAAGTTTTAAGGCAGCTTTGTCCAATACATATAAAGCAAGTCATGTATATAATTTTAAATGTTCTAATGTGCAAATTATAAAACAGATATGATTTACTAATATATTTATTCAATCTAGTATATCAAAACTATTGTTTTAATATAATAAAAATTAATGTTATTTTCCTTTTTTAAAACTAAGCCCTTGAAATCCAGCATACCTGGGTGCCTTGGAGGCCAGAAGAGGGTGCTGGATCCCGTGGAGTTGGAGTTACAGGCAGTTGTGAACTGACCAAC